AAAGAAGACATGGATCTATATATAAATCTCACGACGATTCTGTCACAGTTACCATTTATGAGAAAACAAATACCCTTCACATCCAAGGAGACTCCTATTTCTTGTGGTGCCAGGGATTTCTCAAGAATTTGAAGACCTCTGATGAAAATTTAGAGACAAGATGTAAGACCATAGAGGAAACATCTCCGCAGTGCACATCAACTCCTAAAAGTAAGTCCCAACAAATTGATGAAGACCCTCAAATGAATTGTCATCATTGCATTGACAGTGCAAAAATCATTAAGGAACTCTCAGACACTGTCCAACTTCTGTCACAAGAAGTCAGTGATCTTAAACAGCAATTAAATGCATCGAGGAAGGTCGCATCTCTTCTAACAAAAGGTACGCAAACAGCTCCAAACAGGACAAAGGAGAAAGAGACATCAACAGAAGGAATTAAAATTCCTGGGCCAGGTGTATCAAGGCATAGTCAGTATGACATTAAAGTGCCCCTAACCAGTAGTAGTACCATGACGGATACCACCGAGCCTCCTGAGATCAAGATTGTTCCTGCTTTGCCCAATCCCACAGATCAACCTGGAAAGAAACCAAAGGACAAATCTGTCCTCATCATAGGGAGCTCCATTTTACAAAGGATCCGTACCAGAGGATTGCATTCTAGTGTACAGGTCAGCACAAACCGAGGAGCAACCATCTCTAACATAAGGTCAAAACTTACAAAAATGGATGTGTCATCATATAAAAATATTATTGTTTTAGCTGGTGGAAATGATGCTTCAAGGCGGCGTAATGCAGAGGGCATTGAACATGATTTTGCGGAAATAATCGCGGACCTCCAACATCGGAATCCCAGTGCACGTGTGTTTATTTCGGAAGTGTTGGCTAGGCGAGATACCAATGTCAGTGATGTTAATGAAATTATTAAAGATGTGTGTGAAATGTATGGTGTCACTGTGATCCCTACTTCAGAAATCTTTGGAGATGGAAAGTTCAAACAGGGATACTACTGGAAAGATGGAATCCACCTGTCAGACAGAGGTACCGCAGCACTGCTGAAAATCTACCAAGGATATGTGAATATCCTGAAAAAAGGAAATGTGCGCGACAATGTCAAAATAAATACAACATCGGCTGGCAATGATTCCTTCCGTTCAACCTTCTGCTATTTCTGCGGGGAAAGTGGTCATATATCGCGATACTGCAGGCATGGGAGAAAGCTGGACTGTTGGAACTGTGGAGAGCTAGGACACAAAACCAAGCTCTGCCCGCATAGCCACTAGGAAACGGGCAATGAAAGTGTAGCCGTTACCTATTCCCGAGGGATAATTAATGACAATAATGTATATTCTCTTCTTAATAGGTTATGCTCGGAATGTAATGAGGGTTATTGTTTATGTCGTGATAATGAGTATTCATGTGCATTTGTTCCGAATTCTAGTATTAAGTCAAACACTTTAACTAATTCTTATAAATTTACTAAGGCTTATAGAAATATCAATAGTTCTACTGTCAATAAGGTTTCACAATCAGACGAATCTAATGTGTTTGTAACCGAAAGTAAAAATATAACAAGCAATAATGAATTTGGTTTGATGAAAAAAGGTTTAAAATTTGGAAACCTTAACATTTGCCACCTAATGCCAAAAATTGAAGAAATTAAAATTATGCTTCAAAACAAACAATCTCTTAATATTCTAGGACTTTGTGAAACCTTTTTGAATGAAAATATTAGTGATTCTGAGTTAAATATTGATGGCTTTGAAATGGAAAGGAAGGACCGCACTTTGAGGGCAGGTGGTGGAATTGTTGTATACATTTCTAAAAATATAAAATACAATCGTAGAACTGATTTTGAAATTGGTAATATTGAAACAATTTGGCTAGAATTAAATACAAAGAATTCTAAACCAATTTATTACTGTTCAGCATATCGTCCACCATCTGCTCCCTCCTGCTGGGCGGAGGACCTAGCTAGAGAGATTAACCGTGCCTCCTGCTGTGACGATGCAGAAATTATCTTAACAGGTGACTTTAATGTAGACTTATTCAAAGAACCCCCACAAAGTTGGACATATGCTCTAGAGGAGTTTGGTTTTTCACAATTAATTACAGCACCAACCAGAGTAACTAATACCTCAAGTACCCTAATAGATCACTTCTACACCAATAAACCAGATAACATGTGTGAAGTAAATGTACCTTTTATAGCCATCTCTGATCACTACCCTATATGTGCCACTAGAAAAACAAAATGCATGCAACAAAAAGGAAAACACGTAGAAATTCAGTATAGAGACTTCAAAAAGTTTGATGAAAATAAATTCCTCCAAGACTTAAAAGATGTAGACTTAAGCATTCTCCTCCAGTTGCATGACCCTAATGAAATACTAACTGCATTCTATGAATTATTCAATAGCGTACTTGACCAGCATGCTCAGATTAAAACCAAACGAGTAAAGAGTGAAATTCGTCCTAAATGGTTGACACAAGAAATAAACAATGCTAGACACTTACGTGACTCTTACCACAAAGAAGGAGATATGGAGAACTATCGACTCTATCGAAACAAAGTTAGACTTCTTATAGACAAATCAAAATCTTCTTACTATAAAACAGCGATTGAACAGAGTTCAAATCCCAAAGAAATGTGGAACTATCTTAATCAATTAACATGTAAATCAAAGAACATAACTCCATCTCATGTATTTTCTGATGGGGAAATTGTTGATAATCTACAGGATATTGCAAATACTTTTAATACCCACTTCACAGATGTCTCTAACAAGCTTCTTTTGGAAATGCCAAAACATGATTATGATCCTAATATATTATGTAATTTTGTTAGGTCTAAGCTTGATGAGGAAACCTTCTTTACTATTCATCAAATTGAGGAAAGTGAAGTTTTTAACATGTTAAATTCTCTAAATGTCAATAAATCAGCTGGCATTGACTTTATTGGGCCGCGTCTTTTGAAAGTCGCATCTAAATATATATGTAAACCTATAACTCATCTTGTTAATGCTAGCATAGTAAGTGGTATTTTCCCGACAAATTTAAAACAAGCCAAAGTAACACCTATTTTTAAGAAAGGTGACAAAGCTGACCCGAATAATTATCGTCCTATTTCTATTCTACCAACTGTATCTAAATTGATAGAAAAACATGTAGCTAAGCTAATACAAAATTTCACTAATGAATTCGATCTTCTAACACAATCCCAGTCGGGATTTAGGGCACTCCATTCTTGTCAAACTTCCCTTACAAGACTAACAGAAAGTTGGCTTAATGCAATGGATCGTGGTGAACTAATTGGAATTACATTTATAGATTTTAGTAAAGCATTTGACTTGGTGAATCATGACATTCTTCTAGAGAAATTAACCCATTACAAATTTGACCAAACAGCTATAAAATGGTTTAAATCATATCTTTACAATAGAACCCAGTGTGTTAAATTTGGAACATGTGTCTCCAATACTCTACCCGTCACAGCAGGAGTACCACAAGGGTCAATTTTAGGTCCACTTTTATTTTTATTGTACATAAATGACCTTCCTTTACATGTAAACAATTCAAATATTGATATGTTTGCCGATGATGTTACTTTGTACTCTAATAATCATAATGCAAGATGTTTAGAAAATACACTAAATTCAGATCTTTGTGAAATTGAGAAATGGTGTGCTCAAAATCAAATGGTATTAAATGTAGATAAAACGAAATGTATGTTAATGGGAACACAACAAAGAAAATCAAAACTAGAAAATCCAAATTTACAACTTTATGCCTCAGACAAAACAATTGAAATGGTTGAAACTGAAAAAATTCTTGGTGTACATATTGATGATAAGTTACAGTATGCGAATCATATTGATTCGGTTTGTAAAACTTTGAATTATAAGTTATTTACTCTTCGTAGGATTAAAAAATTTCTCCCTCTTCATACCAGGAAACTATATTACAATGCTTATATTTTACCATCTATTAACTATTGTTTGACTGTTTGGGGTAATGCCCCTAAGAAGGACATGGACAGACTATTTAAACTACAAAAAAGGGCAGCAAGGATTATTCTTGATGCAAGTCCTGATTCTTCATCTAAACCACTATTTGAGAAACTTGGATGGTTAACTATTTATGAGCTAGTTGATCTGTACAAATACATATTATTATACAAAATTTTCAGCGGAATGACTCCCGAATATCTTCATAATTTATTTGAATTTCATTCTTCAACTTCCTATAACCTGCGATCTGAAACTAATTACGATCTTAAATTACCAAAATTTCATACAAACTTATTCAAGACCTCTTTTCAGTACTCAGGTGTACATCTATGGAATAAACTTCCACAATACATTAGACTCTCTCAATCTTTACAAGCATTTAAACGTAATGTAGAAATTTACATTATCAGCTGTCGCTCAATTATTTGAGCATATGTTTATGATCGTCATATTTCTGTATTGTCTTATTTCTGTACATGGACACTGTTTTCATAATTTGTGATTGTAATTCCTATTATATATGATGAATTGTATGTTGTATCTTTTGTAATTGATGTATAGAGGGCCCTGGGGAAGAATAGTGCATGCACTAACCAGGTTACCTTCTTTAAATAAAGTTTTATGATTATTATTATTATTATTATTATTATACAAGGTTTACAGGTGAGACCTTGTTATTACAATGTACATTGTTTCAAGTATTATTCAGAGTTTTAAATATGCAAATGAAGAATTTAAAATACTACAAATAGGTTTTAATTCAATGAATGCGTGTGCTGCTTGTATGGCATATTAATGGTTCAAAAATTGATTTATAATTTGATATTAGGTCATAGATGTTTCTGAAAATTCATTTCGCAATAAATATAAATCATATCATTCAAACATTCTTTATGTCTGTAAATCACAGTGTTATTTTCAGGAGTATCTTATTATTAGGTTAGGTGATTATATTGTCTCTCTTACATGTACATATATATTTCTTAATTAAAGTGCAGTATCACCTGAGCATGTGACCAAAACATCAGTAAGAAGAAGAGTTATGGACCCCCGGTATAGTGGTCAGGACATTCTAAGGTGTGACCTTTGCGCGACACATGTGGTACAAAGTCATTGTGAGCTTTGTCAGATTAACGTGTGTAAGTCCTGTGTAGGAGAACATCTTTCGGATTCAACTAAAACACATAGAGTCGTACCATATGCAGAAAGATTTTTAACTCAAAAAAGTCCAAAATGTTCAAATCATTCCAAGAACTGTGAACTTTACTGTGAGCCATGTGAAATTCCAGTCTGTTCTAAGTGCATCTCCTCAGGAAATCATAAAGGACATCATTTATCAGATGTTTTACAAAACATCAGTTCCAAAACAAAAGACATCGAAAAAGAATTGAAAGAACTAGAGACTAAAATTTATCCAAAATATGAAGAAATTGCATCTAGCCTAAAAATCAAGAAAGACGATTTAGAAATTCACTACAGGAAATTGACAACAGCTGTCACCAAACAAGGAGAAGACTGGCACAGAGAAATTGACATCATTGTCAACAAACAGAAATCTGAAATTGATGAGATGAAAACTAAACACCTGGCTGCTCTAAATAAACAGAAAGAGAAGGTCACAGAAATTACTGCAGAAATGAAACAGAGCATTATTGATCTGAAGAATATTCTAGACTCGAATAACATTTCCTTGGTCTCTGCATACAAATCCAGAAATGCAGAGTTCAGACGTTTACCTCCAGACCTCAAGGTTTTATTACCAAGTTTCTCTCCTCATCAGATCAACACAGAACATATCCATCAAATGTTTGGGTCTTTGTCAGCATTATCCATTACAACAGAAGTACATCGCTACACAATGGAAACACCAGAATCTGCATCCTGTCCTCCAGTCAAACCATTACTTGATGAACCAAGGCTCATAATCACCATAGACACCGGATATAAAAATCTATGCAGTGTTACCTGTCTCACTGATGAAGAAATCTGGACATGTGGAGATGACAAAATCATGAAACTCATTAACCTCCGGGGAAAACTAACAAAGTCTATCAGAACCAAATCAGGGAACAGGCCACAGGACATAGCTGTGACAAGGAATGGATATCTAGTTTATACTGACCATGAAAAGAGAACTGTCAATATGATGAAGAATAAACAGATACAAGAAATGATCAAACTACAGGGATGGAGATCTTGTAACGTCTGTAGTACATCCTCTGGTGACCTGTTGGTTACCATGATCCATGAAGATAATAAACAATCAAAGGTTGTCCGCTTCTCTGGCTCCAAAGAAAAACAAACCATTCAGTTTGATAGTGAAGGCAAACCTCTGTATTCATCTGGTGGCCTTAAATACATCAGTGAGAACAAGAACCTGGACATCTGTGTGGCTGACAATGAAGGTCATGCAGTGGTCGTGGTAAATCATGCAGGGAAGCTCAGATTTAGGTACACCGGACGCTTCTCTACTTCCGAGGAATCATTTGATCCAGTCGGCATCACAACAGACAGCCAGAGTCAGATCCTGACAGCAGACTGTGTCAGCCACTGCATCCACATCATAAAGCAGGACGGACAGTTCCTCCATTACATATATAACTGCCACCTTCGTTATCCATATGGTTTATACGTAGACACCAGTGACAACCTTTTTGTTGCTGAATGGAGCAGTGGTAAAGTGAAGAAAATCAAATACATGTAAAAATGTTAACATTCCATTGGTCAAGATATGATTGTGATTCAAGATACATGTATCTATATATGTACGCGCACGTACGCGCCATATCCAAAACAAAAGACATCGAAAAAGAATTAAAAGAACTGGAGACTAAAATTTATCCAAAATATGAAGAAATTGCCTCTAGCTTAAAAACCAAAAATGACGATTTAGAAATTCACTACAATAAATTGACAACAGCTGTCACCAAACAAGGAGAAGACTGGCACAGAGAAATTAACATCATTGTCAACAAACGAAAGTCTGAAATTGGTGAGATGAAAGCTAAACATATGGATGCTCTAAATAAACAGGAAGAGAAGGTCACAAAAATTACTGCAGGAATAAAACAGAGCATTATTGATCTGAAGAATATTCTAGACTCGAATAACATTTCGTTAGCCTCTGTCTACAAATCTAGAAATGAAGAGTTCAGATATTTACCCCCTGACCATAACGTGTCATTACCAAGTTTCTTTTCTCATCAGATTAACACAGAACAACTCCATCAAATGTTTGGGTTTCTGTCCGCATTATCCATTACAACAGAGGAACGGAGCTACAGAATGGAAACACCAGAATCTGTATCCTGTCCTCCAGTCAAACCATTACTTGATGAACCAAGGCTCATAATCACCATAGACACTGGATATAAAAATCTATGCAGTGTTACCTGTCTCACTGATGAAGAAATCTGGACATGTGGAGATGACAAAATCATGAAACTCATTAACCTCCGGGGAAAACTAACAAAGTCTATCAGAACCAAATCAGGGAACAGGCCACAGGACATAGCAGTGACAAGGAATGGATATCTAGTTTATACTGACCATGAAAAGAGAACTGTCAATATGATGAAGAATAAACAGATACAAGAAATGATCAAACTACAGGGGTGGAGATCTTGTAATGTCTGTAGTACCTCCTCTGGTGACCTGTTGGTTACCATGATCCATGAAGATAATAAACAATCAAAGGTTGTCCGCTTCTCTGGCTCCAAAGAAAAGCAAACCATTCAGTTTGATAGTGAAGACAAACCTCTGTATTCATCTGGCGGCCTTAAATACATTAGTGAGAACAGAAACCTGGATATCTGTGTGGCTGACGATGAAAGTCATGCAGTGGTCGTGGTAAATCAGGCAGGGAAGCTCAGATTTAGGTACACCGGACGCTTCTCTACTTCCAAGGATTCATTTGATCCAGTCGGCATCACAACAGACAGCCAGAGTCAGATCCTGACAGCAGACTGTGTCAACCACTGCATCCACATCATGAATCAGGACGGACAGTTCCTGCATTACATATATAACTGCCATCTTCGTTATCCATATGGTTTATGTGTAGACGCAAGTGAAAACCTCTATGTAGCTGAATGGAACAGTGGTAAAGTGAAGAAAATCAAATACATGTAAAAATGTACACATTCCAATTTATCAAGAAAGGATTGTGATTAAGATACATGTAATATCTATGTAAAGTTAACGCCTCTCAAGTATACCTAACTAAAGTTCAATTTCATACGATTAGTCTTAAATCTTTGACAACACGCACACCATGCGGTCTGGTTTTATTTTGCTATAGGGAAATCGAATTCTGTTGTCTCCGAATGAATGGTACCACATTCATGAATGACGTTGAATTATTTCATTCCATTACAAAATACCCGTCAGACTTCCATTTATTATTTGTAAATAGGTCCTATCGCGTCTTCAAAACCACCCCACACAATTCCGCTGCAAATTCCAAATTGTCGACGCAGCACTATATACAAGCGTCGAAATAACATTCCCCATCCATATCCCGGTGATAAACTTTCGGCACCGCCACTGCTGTCCAAATAATATCTTGATTCATTTGAGAACAAACATTGGCCCAGTCTTGAAATTGATACCTCAGATATCTCCGACCCCAAGCTTATCGTCCACTTTGATGGCGTCGGAACAGTACTGGACATGCATATTGCAGGACTTAAAAGCCTGTTTTTATGCTCAAACAGCGATTACGTACAATTGGGGACCTCCTGAACGTGCATGGTCGATCAAGAGTGTTGACAATTGAATAAAAAAAAAAATGTCTACATAATGAGCGGCTGGACTTTCTTTGAACATCAAATCGTCGAGCACAATACAACGTTCTGGTTCATCGCAGCTTGCAACATTCCTACAGCACCAATATTTTCATTTAGCCTTGGCCTAGCACAGATACCAAAGACTAATGATTTTTTTTTATACAAAATAAGACTTGAAAATCTCTCCCAATCTGTGATTGAAAATTATTCCCATACAAATAAGAAAAGAGAATCTGTGATCCCGCTTAAGGAAAAAAGAAGAGTATGTGTGGATCTAAAGGGGGGGGGGGATCGAAGGGAGCACTTTAAGAAGGGCAGGCGGGGCCATGGGGAATAACAGAATAAATTCATTGCTGAAACTTAAAAGCTTCTTGAAATGAAACTTTCGCAGAGACCCACAGAATATATAAATTAACGATCTTTACCTAGCTCTTCAAAAATTGGGGTTTCTCATAGCATATTCATGTATAGGAAGTTATGGTATGGATTTAAACCGTGAATGCTCTCAAAAGCATCTCGAAATATCGCACGGAAACGAAAGTGTTAAAACATACAGAATTTATTTTAGGACCTCAAAATCGATCTATATATAGACGTTTCCCTACGCGATAAGGAGTTGCTGTGTAAAATTTCATATAAAAAAACGAGAGTGTCACGAACAGACAGATATACATCTTGGCGGACAGATGAACAAAGGGACGGTCGGACCGCTATTATGGAATATCCCCTACTTTGTGAATTCGGGGGGGGGGGGGGGCACGACAGAAAGACAATGATATAGGAAGTAAGCTAGGATTGAGAATTTTGAAATATTTCCTACATTGC